ACGGGCATTCACGGCGTTCTTCTGATGACAAAGCCTTCAAACTCACAAAAGTATATTCACACTTTGAATTAGAGTTTAATAAGCTTCTTGGGTTGTCGGTGCCAGATGATTTATTGGGCTCATTCAACAAAACACGAGTTGGACTGAAGCGCTGCACAATAAACGGATGAAAGCAGGAGCAATCGGAGAAAAGCAGTCCTCTAAAACAGCGTGAACTCTAAAAGATGAAGTCAATAAAACCGTTTGATGAACCTTTCAAACTAAGAATGTGTTCATCTGACGCTCTTAAATAATAGCTTTCTGGTTTTAGCAGCTCTCACAATGGATCAGCTGCTCCTCAGGATGTGGAGGAAGCCACCAACAAGCAGCTGATGCATCTAGAGACTTCCAGCTCAAAGTAGTCCTGAATATTTAAACTCAAACTGAAGTTTAAACGCTAGTTTTGACCAGAACAAATCTTTTAAGATGGTCTGTGGAACGTAATGAAACCCTACTAACTCGTGATGGATGGGAGCGTATCGATAGTAATAGAGCCATGTATTCAACTTCCGTGATTTTGGCACAGTGACAAGCTGAACGCGTATTTTTTTTGTGTGTGTGTGGCGCTAATACCCAACAAACATTGGTCCGACGCCGGCGGGGCGTCCACATCCAAAAATGGTCACAGTAGGACGGCCCGAATTTGTTCAAATAATATATAATATTATATTGTTTTGTACTTGGGGAGGGGGGCTGGGATGGGAATGTGGGATCTATGGGGCCATTTTAATCTGTAAAGCACTTTGAGTTGCATTTTTTGTATGAAAAGTGCTATATAAACAAAGTTGATTTGATTTGATTTGATAAGAGAACATGTCTTAAAAATCCATTCAGATGCATTCGTACATGCCTACAGTTATATGTTTAATAGTTATTTTGACAATTAGTTACGTGTAGTCACAACACATTCTCACACCCAAAGCGTCAAAATATGACACGTGTGACCAAGCGTCAATGTATGACGATTCGGGATGCCCCAGCGTGTCAGGAGACGACGATCAGGGACACACTGATGACTCACTGTCCCAGGGCATCGGTATCCGACGCCGGTGGTTGTTAGACGGACATTACAACGACTTGTGAACTACTTAAACTTCCCCTCACCCCTATCCTAACCTTAAGGTCACAGGTACTGACCTTAAGGTTAGGATTGGGGTGAGGGGAAGGTTGAATAGTCGAATAATGTCCGTGTGACCGCGGGCATCAAACACTAACGCCAGCGGAGCCACGTGTCCCTGCATGTCCCTGATCATCGTCTCCTGACGCGCTGGGGCGTCCCGAATCATCATACATTGACGCTTGGTCACACGTGTCATATTTTGATGCTTTGGGTGTGAGAATGTGTTGGTGGTCAACATAGCATCCCAGCAAATATAGGTCCGATGGCAACGTCGTGTCGATGGCCAAAAATGGTCGTGGTAGGACGGCCCAAATTTGTAAAAATAATATATAACAGAACAGGTCTTAAAAATCCATTCAGATGCATTCGTACATGCCTACAATTATATGTTTAATTGTTATGTCGACAATTAGTTATGTGTAGTTAACATAGCATCCCAGCAAATGTAGGTCGGATGGCAACGTCGTGTCCACGGCCAAAAATAGTCGCGATAGTACCCTACAAAACATTGGTCCGGCGGAGACGTGGTGTCCATGGCCAAAAATAGTCACGATAGGACCCTACAAAACATTGGTCCGGCGGAGACGTGGTGTCCACGGCCAAAAATAGTCGCGATAGGACCCTACAAAACATTGTTCCGGCGGAGACGTGGTGTCCACGGCCAAAAATAGTCACGATAGGACCCTACAAAACATTGGTCCGGCGGAGACGTGGTGTCCATGGCCAAAAATAGTCGCGATAGGACCCTACAAAACATTGTTCCGGCGGAGACGTGGTGTCCACGGCCAAAAATAGTCACGATAGGACCCTACAAAACATTGGTCCGGCGGAGACGTGGTGTCCACGGCCAAAAATAGTCGCGATAGGACCCTACAAAACATTGTTCCGGCGGAGACGTGGTGTCCACGGCCAAAAATAGTCACGATAGGACCCTACAAAACATTGGTCCGGCGGAGACGTGGTGTCCACGGCCAAAAATAGTCACGATAGGACCCTACAAAACATTGGTCCGGCGGAGACGTGGTGTCCACGGCCAAAAATAGTCGCGATAGGACCCTACAAAACATTGGTCCGGCGGAGACGTGGTGTCCACGGCCAAAAATGGTCGCAGTAGGACGGTCCAAATAAAAAAAAAATTGAACATAACGTTTCCTAAAAGTCCACTCAGATTTGTAGTTACATGTATAATTGTTACGTGTAATTCACGTCCAGAAAAGACATCGGTTCAACGTTCATTTTGGAACTATTTTTCAACCATGACGGGACGTGCCGGCTTTTCAACGTTGATTAAACGTTTGCTGGATAGCTGGTTAGCCCGTTCTCAAGTGGGGCGGGGTTCTTTTTCTTCACATTGGTGGCATCGCAGCAGCTTCTGTCTAAATGAGCAACATCTCTTATTTATTTTACAGCTCTTTGAAAACAAACCTTTAATGTAGGTAAACATAAAGGTTTCTGTTTTTGTGCCATATTTCAAAGTAGAAACAGAAAAAAAAAATCACCCAGGAACAAAAACAGTAAATCACCTAAAACGGTCAGAGTTGAGCCCATGAATGTTTTAAGCATTATTTTAAGAGTCGGGTTGGTTTTGCGGCTCGTTACGAATCGTTTTAGCGGGAAAATGGTCAAATGGTAGCCTGGCAATCCAGACTACATAAATATGTTATTTAGTCTGGCAACGCTCCACTGACGGCTCTGTTGTGGGGCGGGTTCTACCGTTGTCTTTGAAACGATCGACAATGAACAACGTGACGTACTCACCCCAACGGTAAACGAGGCGGTAATTGCAAAAGGTGAAATTACATCCTTTTTTCTAAAAGAAAAATCTTAAATACATCTATGTGCTTCTAATTCTAATAAAGCTCAAGTCCAAATAGTCCAAAACTGATGTAAAAGCTGTTTCAGACTAGCTGTCGCCATCTTGTTCCACTCTGTTGCATCATCCTGCCCCCCAGACGAATAGAGGGCCCTGGTTGACCCACAAAGTGGATAAAGAGCTGTGATTGGCCCACCTTTTTGGACCAATCCCCTAAAGAGAGCTGTGATTGGCCAGTCAGAATGCTGCTAGAGGCTGCGGAGGCTCCATTGGAGCGTTCCTAGACCAAAGTTTGCAACGCCGGAATTTGGTCACCAGGCTGTACAAATGACTGAATGGGTTTAACTTAGTTTAATTATTATGATTCTTGGGGGGATTTCGTCTATCACCAGTTGGTTTAAACGCTGCATCCGGGCAGCATCCTGAAAACGGTGGCATGCTCCTGCTGAGCTCCAGGTGCTGCCAGGTGAGCTTCAGCCACGGGTTTAGGACGGGCACCTGCTGGAGTGGAGCACCACACGGGTTGGCCCTCAGCTGGCTGAGGACTGAGATGGGACGCTGA